TTTAATATTTCGTTTTCCCCAATTACATGTAAAAACAATTTTAACATATTCTTTTAAAATTTTGAATTCCAAATTCTCTCCCTCCCTCCTCTTCCCCCCCCATTGAGAAGGCAAGCAATTTGACGTAGGTTATACATGTATAGTCATGTGAAACACATTTCCATGTAAGTCATTCAGTGAAAGGAAACAGACCAAAAACAAAAACAAAAACAAACAAACAAAAAAAAAACAAGAAAAAAAACAAAGTAAAGAAAAAGTATCTTTGATTTGCATAGGCTCTAACAGATATTTCTCTGGAAATGGACAGCACCTTTCATCATAAGTCTTGCACAATTGTCTTGGATCATTGTATTGCTTAGAATAGCTAAATTATTCATAATAGATCATCATACAATATTGTTGTTACTGTGTACAATGTTCTTCTGGTTCTGCTAATTTCACTTTACATCAGTTCATGTAAGTCTTTCTATATTTTTCTGAGAGCATCTTGCTCATCATTTCTTAAAGCACAATAGTATTCTATCGCAATCATATACAACAACTTGTTCAGCCATTCTCCAGTTGATGGGCATCCCCTAAATTTCCAATTCTTTGCCACCACTAAAAGAGCTGCTATAAATATCTTTGTACACATTGGTCCTTTTTTGTTTTTTACAGAGATGGTATTTGAATACATGGGTTAGAAGTTAGGAAACACAACTTAGTTTTTCCTAGCTGGAATCTTGGGAGCCAGCCGTTTGATGATGGTTATTGTCCTTTTCCTTAATCTACAGAAAGATCCTCCTGGGTGGTGTCAGTTCAATGAGCCATGTCTGTCAGCAACTTGTTCATCCTTCATATGGGCTGTCACCAAATAAGCTTAAATTTGAAAGCTACTCTAAGGTGGAGAGGATGCCAACCCACTCATCAGTCACAGATTATGTCTGACTGAAAGAGCGTGCCTACTGGGAAATGTACACAGAAACTGATCTTGCTACTCTGGCAGCTTGCAATTCCTGTTGATCAGGTCAAGGATCACAGCTCTGTTAATTGGCAACAATTTCTTGGATCTGAGGACATCAGCCCGAAGGGCTGCCTTGCTGCTTGGAGAGGTTGCTCCCTGGGGAAGAGATCTGGTGATCTCTCAGAGCAGCTGACACCTGTCTGTGGGTGATTGTCAGGGAATTACAATGATTCATCCATGGAAAGCCTGTAGAGATTTTTTTCTCCCTTTCTAGCTATGTTTTCCTCTCCTCCACTGTGGTTTGTCAGTGCAGAGAAGGAAGGCAGTGAAGAGGGACTGGGGAGAAAAGGTGTTGGAAGTAATAAGGGAAGGTGTGAATGCCTTTTAAATTACTTCCTCCTAGAATTTAGATAAGCTTTCTCTAAAAAGCTATGATGATGAGGCAGAATCCATCTGGCTTCCAAACTTTATTTAAAAAACAGAAAAGCTCTTTGAACACATTGTGATTTGAAACACATGCTGCATTAACTGTGTAACCACCTAGGAGTTCCTTTCAGTCACTGCTTCCCAGAGACATTCACACTTCCTCAGAGTAGGGTGTGCATACATACTACGGGTGGCAGAGGAGGAAGGGGGGAAGGAGCAATAAGGAAAGTCTATCAATCCATTTCACGTTATTCCAAGATTTAAAATTGAAAGGTACCTTGGAGTTCATCTAGCTCGGAGATTCTTAACCTGAGATCCACGGATAAGGGAGGGGAGAAGAGCTGTGAACTTGGATGGAGAAAGAAAATTACATCTTTATTTTCACTAACATCTAAGTGAAAATTGACATTTCTTTCAATTATGTAAAAATATCATTCTGGAAGAGTTCTGTAAGTTTCAGCAACTGCCAAAGTGGGCCACAATGCAAAAAAGTTTTAAGAACCCCTGGTGTTGGCCATCTTGGGGAGGGAGGAGAGGAGAGAGAGAAGGAGAAAAGAAATTGGAATTCAAAATCTTATAAAAGTGAATGTTGAAAAAATAAACAATTAATTATTATTTTTTTAAAAGAAGAACCCATGCTGTAATTCATCCACCTCATTTTATACCAAATGAATTACAATCCTAAGAGTAGAGGATATCCTCACTATCTCTTCATAACCTTCCAAGCAAAACAATTTATTTCTGCCTTTCAATCTCCACCCCCCGAGGCCTTTCTCTCTGTTTGAATGGCTCCTCCCAGAAGCTACTTTTATGGAAGGAACCAAGACCAGCCATCTCTTCATTTCTCACCAACTTTCACTATAGACTTCTTCATCATGCCCCATGCCTGGTACCTTCCCTCCCTCTTCCCCTTTCAGCTCTTTTTCATGTGTTGTCTTTCTCAATTAGAATGTAAGCTTTTTGAGGTCGAGGACTATTTATCTATCTGTCTTTCTGCTTGTATTTGTATTCTCAATGCCCAGCACAGTGTCTGGCACATAGGAAATGCTTCATAAATGCTTGTTGATATATTGACTTTAGCTGGAGCATTCTAAGCTCAACAATATACCTTTAGAGCAAGACAGAAATGCCACTCATCCCAGTCTTTCCCTTCTGGAACCTGGGGCAGCTTCCACTCTCTGATGAAAGGAGGGGGATGTGTTTCATTATCTGTTCTCCAGAATTGAGACTGGCCATTACAACTGACTAGCATTTGGTTGCCTTTTAGTGTCATTTTTATTTAACTTATGGCAAGCTTGTATGTGTGTGTGTGTGTGTGTGTGTGTGTGTGTGTGTGTGTATGTGTGTGTAGTTCTTCTGCTTCTGCTTGCTAGTTTTTTTTTTCCTTATGGTAAAATGATATTCCATTACATTCATACATAGTTTACTCAGCCATTCCCCTTACCAATGGGCACCCATTTGTGTTTTACCTTTTTTTTTTTTTTGCTACCTTCTCTCTATGCCTCCAAAATACTGATATGGCATATATAGGGTTTTTCTGTCTTTGACCTCCTTTAGGCATATGACCCAAATCTGGGCGCAAAATTAGTCCTATGACTAATTTAGTGACTTTTCTCAAAGAACTGCAAATTGTTTTCCAGAACATTTATGCCATTTCATTGTTCCAACATGGTATGAGTGAGTTTGCATTCTCATAGCCCGCCAACACAGATTACTCCTATCTGTAATTATCTTTGCCACTTTGATGGGTATGAAGTATATATGAGTTATTTTTAATTTGTTTCTTATTACTAATCATTTGTGATTTTCACATATATCTACCAATAGTTCTCATTTCTCTTTTTGGAAAACTGTTCATAGTTTGATCCTTTTTTGGAGAGGCAACATGGTAAAGTAGGAAGAGACAGTAGAACTGAGATCAGAATATATAGATTTGAGCTCGCTTTTACCACTTTTTTTTTTAAACTTATTAACTGCGTGAGCTAGGGAATGTCCCTGGAGCATTCTGACCCTTTGTTTGCTCATAGGTAAAATATGGATTATAGCATTTGCTCATTGATGTGAGAAAAAAAAAGATACCAAGTAAATTGAAAAGTTATATTTTTATATATGGCAATAAATTTAAAAGGCAAGCCTTCGAATCAGCAAGAAAGGTCTATGATCAAGTCTAACTCTAATTGTGGACAAATCAATTAGTGTTAGCTTTCTAACACTATTGATAGGAGTTTTCACACTGGGAGTTCACTACATTAATCAATTAACCTGTGAAGGTCTGGACCTGCAGAAAGGTGATAGGTAGGTAGATAGCTAGCTAGCTAGCTAGACAGATAGATAGATGATAGATACATACATACATACGTACATACATACATACATACATACATGGATGATAGGCATACTATAGTTATCTATGAAAAAGGATTCATTTTAACTTTATTGTTGTTCCATTGTACATAATCCCTTTTTAGTTTTTTTTACCTTAAAAAGTCACACAATTCTTTATAAGTTTCAAATAATCCCATAATGACATCAAACTCCTCAGAGTAGTTGATACTTTGGCTTGCTTTCAATGTCTGTTGGTTTCACTGAACTGATAAATTTTGTCTTTACAATATTGTTTTCTTGATTCCAGTGAATAGACCTTTATCAACTGATTAATCAGCAAATATGAATTAAAAACAAGACCCTCTTTCAGACTAAGCTCTGAGAGGAAATAAAAATACTCAGGCTAATTATGGAAATATTTATTGACATATTATAATGATTCCCATTAATTTGTAGTATTTTAATGGGAATGTTTCTTTTCTAGGGGAAAAGAGATGGATTCTGTTAAGTCAAATCAAGGCAACAAACATTTGTTAAGTGCCTTCTCTATTCCAGGTGCAGTGCTAAGCACATACAAAGAAAAGGGGAGAGAGGGTCCCTGCCTTCAAAGAGCTTGCAGATTTTTGGAGGAGAAAATGTGCAAACAATTATATATAAATAAGATAGATAAAGAATAAATTAGAAATAATCTCAAAGGGTGGGCACTGGAAAATGAAATCTTCAAGGAGCTTGGTTTGGTGACAAGCACTATGAGGTAGATTGGTTGCCACTTTTTAGTAGTGTAATGATATATAAGTCACCCAACGTCTCTGAGCTTCACTTTCCTCACGTCTAGGAAAAGAAGACTCGTATTTGGGCTGCTTGTTTCATAGGGATCTTGTGAGGAAAAGGCTTTACAAACTTGGGAGCATTACATAAATATGAGTTATTAGTGCTGTAAAATACACACAAAAATGTAGCTTCCCTAAAACATATCTTGCAGCAGAAGGGCTTACCAAGTCTCTATCTTTATGAACAAATCATTAAACTGTTTCTTAAGAGTGAACATTTTGACACACCTATCATCCTAGAAATGAGTACCCCATTTTATCTTTTGAACAAGAACTCTCAGAACTGTGAGAAAAGAAAACTCTCAGTCGAATGCTATTCCCTGACCTTCATTTTGTTAGCTGACAGCAAGGCACAAAACCATTATCACTTATTTCCCAATTTGAGTAGTAAGTTGATAACACTGAGGGGACAGTGAAACTTTCAAGAAATCCAGGGTCAGCCACATCATTTCAATTTCTGTTAACTGTTTCTACAGGGCAATTCTGGGCTGGGATTCAGTATTGCTGGAGGCACAGATAATCCCCACATTGGAGATGATCCTGGCATATTCATTACGAAGATTATACCAGGAGGAGCTGCAGCAGAGGATGGCAGACTCAGGTAAGACCTGAGGGGGTAATTATTTGGAAAGGAAATCTGTGGCTTTGAGGAACCATATTTGTATATGGACTTTCCAGAACAACAGTTTTTTGTTTTTTTTTTTGGGAAGAATGTCACATGGAAATAGAAGACAGTCCAAGCAGACTTTCTGGGGTGATTGTCAAGGAAGAACTGAGTGGGCACAGGACATTAATAACTGGGCTGTGTGATCACTTTTCCTCCCGTGGCTCAGAAAAATCCACATCTCTGTTTATAAATGTTCACTGCATTTCTATTTATCAGACCAGCAATTAGCATTTTAAAGCATATATTCTGTGCTCAGCATGATGTTGGATTGCCTGGTGAATACGTTGTACCTGTCCTCATGGGGCTTGCAGTCTTGGTAGGAAGATGACTTACTTAGGGAATAATGAGTCAATGAAACAAAATACAATAAAATTAAGGAAAAAATAAAATAAAGAAAAATCAAATTAAAGAAAGAAATGAGAGAAACTATAGGTTAGAGAATAGGAAGATAGGTGGAAGTCTACGGTAGTCAGGAAAAACTTTGTGAGGAGAGTAGTATAATGAATTTATAATGAAGGAGGCAGGGGAGCACCTGAAGTAAACAGATCAATATGTGAGGCTTTGGAGAATGGAAAGAGCTCTGAGCTTGCAGTCAGGGAAGATAGGGGGTTTGAATCCCAGCTCAATTACTGGATGAATGACCTTGAAAAAGTCACTTGTTTTCTTGGTGCCCCAGATTCTTCTTCAGAAAAATAGGAATAAGATTTGTACTACTTACCGTGCAGGGTTGCTGTGAGCACAGTGCCTGGCACATAGTAGGCGTGTAAACAAATAAATGCTTATTCCCTTCCCCTTAAAGAAATGTCAGCTCTTAAGTATACTGGGCTGTTCATTAGACTAGGAAGCAGGAAGCATGGCCTCTAGTTTTGACTTTGCCCCTAACTAGCTTTGGGAAAGTTAGTTAACCTCTTTAGGCCTCACTTTAAACAGATGTAGACAGTAGGATTTGATTTCATAATCTTGAAGCTTACCTTCAGCTGTAGAAATCTAGAGTTTTAAAGTTCTATAAATGAGGACACAAATATGGGAAAGTGCAAAGGAGCCAAAAGGAGCATTTTGGGGAAAATGAGGAGACCATCTTGTCTATGGCATAGTGGAAAGCGCACTGGACTTGAAGTCTGGAAGACCTGAGTTAAAAACCTCCTTCTGATATGTAATAGCTGGGTAATAGCTGTGTACCCCTTGGCATGTCGCTTGGCCTCTCTTGGCCTCAGTTTCCTCATCTGTAAAATAAGGGGCTTGGACTTGAGGGCTTCTAAGTTCCTGTCAGCTCTAATTCTTTGATTCTATTCTTCTTTGACCAAGGCAAAAGATTCCTGCAATGAGATGATGGGTGATGACATTGTATATAGTAGAGTGAGATACTATGGTCAGCCATCTGCTGGATGCAGTGGGAGGTCAGAAGATGACCAGGTCTTTGCCCTCCAGAGACAGCCTTTTTAAGGAGACATGGCTCACACTATAGGCCAATTGGGGGACAATATAAAATAGGGAATGGTCATAACAGAGATAGATAGAGTGGTGTAATTGGGAGAGGATTCGTTGAAGAAGACTCAAACTGGGCCTTGAAGATGATGGGTGCAGCGACAAAAAACAATGAGCTTAGAGTGAAAACAAAACAACAAAACCAAACAAACCTGGCTTCTAGCTTCCACTCTATTCTTATCTTACCTCATGGGGTAGCTTTGAGCAAGTCTGTTACCCCTTCTAAATCTCATTTTCCTCCTCTATAAAATGAGGATGTTTCCTAGATCAGAGGTAACCACCCTTTACATTTTTGTCTTTTAGGAACGCTTTGTCAAAACCTTCAGTGTAGAAACTGCCACTTGTTAGTAAATTTACTATTAGTTCCCATTGATTGAGAAAATGCATGATGACAAAAAGCTACTATGTATTAAGTAAGCTTTTCAATTAGTTTTTGTTGTATTCATCGTAATAGCATCTCCATATATTTGAGGAATACTAATATATTTAAGTGTGATATTATTCAGGCTCCCGAAGGTGTAGTTAATTATTATGCTGAGTCACACTGCATACTTTTTGGAGCTGATTAAGGAACAAAAATGACAATAATAAATATGGAGAAAGGGGGAGAGAGAGAGAAAGAGAAAGAGAGAGAGAGAGAGGAAGAGACAGATTTTTTTGGATGACTTTTAAGAACTCTCCCACACCTACTGTCTTCTAAGGATCTTGAACTAAATGACCTCTAAGGTCATTTTCATCTCTGACTCTCTGTAAGCCTAAAATCTAGATAGCTGTTTGCTTTGTTTTATTTTGTTTTTTTTCCTACTTCCCAAACAGTGGTAACTAACAAAAACTGATGTGGGGCAATTTCAGTGGGAAATGGGGATGGGGCTGATAAAAGAAGGGATAATTCCACTCTGGTACCATCGTTCTAGGATATGGCAGCACCCATTCTCCAGAGAATTCTGACCTTCACCTCTACAGGAGTTCAGAGCAGAGGAGGAAGGAAGGTTTGGGAGGTGAACCACAGTGACAAGTGGTGAGCCCTATTGTCTTACTCTGGAGCAGGGATCAGAACACAGCCTATTTTTGTATAGCCCACAAGCTAAGAATGGTTTTGACAGTTTTATATGTAATAAAACTTTATTTTAAAATGTAAAAGCTATTATTAGCTCTCAGGCAGTACAAAAACAAGAATTTTGCTTACCTCTGCTTTAGAGCAACACAAGGTTCCTCAGAGAAGGCATTCCCTGGAAAGTAGCGAAATATTCTGAGAGAGTTAAATGGTGCAGTGCATGATAGAGTGACCAGACCTGGAGTCAGGAAGACCTGAGTTCAAATCTGGCCTCAGACATTTACTAGAAGTGTGATCCTGGGCAAGTCATATAACCTCAATTTGCCTCAGTTTCCACATCTATAAAATGGCTATAATAATACAACCTACCTCCCAGGGTTGTTGGGATCAAATGAGATAATTATTGTAGAGGGCCTTTCCACAGTGCCTGGCACATAGGAAATATTCTGTAAATGTTAGTTGTTATTGTTATTATTATTATTACTATTATTAAGTATTATGCCCCATCATATGTTTTAGTGCCCTGAACAAAGCACCATTTGCCCAAGCCTAGTTATGGCTATGCCTACTAAATTGCAAGCTCTTTGAAGTCAGGCAACATGCCTATACATATTTGTGTTCTTGACAACTTAGCCTAGCATAAGGTTTCACACTTAGAAGATGTTCAGCTAAAATGTTAATTAATTAACTAATTATTACATTAATTACAAGAAGCCATATAAGTTTAGCAGCACCTACAAGGACATATAACACATTGATCTAGCTTTTGACAAGCCAGACCTACCTCTATACAATAAGGAAGACTCAGGTGAGGACTTTAGGAGAAGAAATAGTCTTTATGGAACTATATAGGAGTTCTTTATCTTTTTACAATTACAATACTGTTTTTGTGAACTAATCCTCAGACCTAGGGAAAGGCGCTACAAAACTTTCACATTAAAGTTTTGAAATTAGGGAAAAAATATGTAATGTGATGGACAACTCATTTTACAACAATTTCCTTCTTATAGAGTAGGAAACCACCAATCCCTATACAGATCTGATCCCTACTTTGAATCAAAATTTCAAGTTTAGAAGGAACTTTTTAAAGACTATGGACTCTAACCTCCTTTCCAATGTACAGATCCCTGGAACAGCCGACATAGCTAATCAACAACTCCCTGCCTGAATACTTGGTGAGAAATGTATTATTTTAAAGAAGCCTGTTTCATTTCTTGGTGAGCTCCTTTGTAACTATAACAAATATTAAGCACTTAGTGTATGCCAAAAATCTAGGATATAAATTTTGGTAGAAGATATAAACTTGGGATAAGACATCATACCAATGCTCCAGGAGCATATAGTTTAGAAAGTTTTCAGATGTACTGATCTGAAAATATTGATCTTCTACAATTTGTGTCCTTAAAGTCACATGGAAAAATATGACAACTTACCATTATTTGAAAATGTCTCTGATGACTCCGTTTGATTTTTACCAGTGCAGCAGGTATTATTTCCCCAGGTATAGATAGACTTTTGGGGTGTGTGTGTGTGTGTGTGTGTGTGTGTGTGTGTGTTATTTTCTTTTTGATTGTTTTATGGTTTGGTTTTTTTTTTTTTATTTTTCCCATAAGAAATGAGCTCTAAAGAATTGGTGGGGTAGAAGCAGCTGGAAAGCCATAATGGGACATAAATAGAATGATTAGCATTTCAAGGACAGTGATGCCAAGTGATAATACCTTTAAACCCTGGTCCAGGTGAACAATGGATTAAAGATAAAAACAATTTACTCTACTAATACACTCTTCAAAATCTATTGATTTCATCTCTATTTTTCTCTACCTATCCTTCATATTTTCTATCTCTTTACCTCTATGTTTCTCTATATCTATGGTTCTTAGTTTCATACATGCATGCATATGTGCCTGCATACACCACATAAATGTAGTGTGTGTATGTGTGTGCGTATACAATGAGAAATTATTTTATATATAATGGTTAAAATGTATGCACAGATATAAATACATATATACATTTTATATACCTATATACATATGTGTGTATGGATAGATCTTATTTCAGTATATTTGGTTTCTTTTGTCATCTTATGTATCTTATTTTATATATTTAAAAATGTGAACCTCAGAAGGAGTCCGTATTCTTCACCAGACTGCCAAAGAGGTGCAGGACACACAAGAACCCTGGTCTCTTTGTTTCCTCCTCTCTTTTCTCCATCCTTTCTTTCTCATTCTTGATGATCATCCACCTCATCCTCATTCCAGTGGTCTCTCTGTTTTTCCCTCTGCTTCCCCTTCTGCTACCACTCCCATCCCCTTTCTTTTAACTGGCCATAATAGAGGAATGCAATATAATTGAAATAATCTCATTTGTATTTTTAACAAAATTTTGAATCCCC